AATGCACAGAGCACAACACAATGAACTCCCACCAACACCAGCGAGGGAAACAAGGAGTGGGGGAAGCTGCTGGAACTCTCCAGGCTCTGCAGCTGAGCCTCTGCAGACCCCCTGCCCGCCCATCTTTGTGGAGCGGCCCTGCTCAGGAGGCGGGGGGCCTGCCCCCACTTTGCTTTCCTGGGTTGGGGGATCAAAGCTCACCATTGGGACCAGAAAGCAGTAGGGACTGAGTCGACCTGAGACTCTGAAAGTCTACAGCTCTGTTTTTAAAAATCACGGTTTGCTGCATAAAGAAAAAATTACCCTTTCAGATGTACAGTTTTGTTAGTTTTGAAAAACACATGCAGTCACAATACAGAAAAGTTGCCCCCCTCCAGATCCTTCATGTGCCCGTGGCCCCCCTCCCGGCAGTCACCGGTCTGTTTTCTGTCCCTATAGTTGCGTGTCATCTAGAATGTCACGTGTCACATGGCCACATTTACACCTCTGGGTCCACCCGCGTCCAGTGCCTGGACGGCAGTTCCCTTTGCTGCTGGTAGATTCTTCTGCGTGAATGTTCACCAGCTGCGGGACAGTTGGGGGGTTTCCAGCATGGGGCAGTTGTGAACAGTGCCGCTACAAACACTCATTGATGAATTTTTGTGTGGACCTAAGCTTGATTTCTCTCGGGTTAGCACCTGGCTGTGGAATGTTGGGCTGTGTGGTAAGCGGCGTCTAACTTCCCTGGTGACCACCAAGCTGCGTCCCCTCCTGACACGGCTTTCTCGCTCTTTCCGTCAGGCACCTACGTAGGGCCAGGCACTGTGCCAGGTCAGGGATGGCCGTGGCCAAGACCGGCAAGGCCCTGCCCTCCTGGGGCTGCCAGTCCAATGGGGGAGGCAGACAAGAAACAAGAAGACTTCAGGCACACGCAGGCTCGTGCTGGCTGGCGACACAGGCTCTGAGGGTGACAAGAAGGAGGGGATGGTCAGCGAGGCCCTCCCTCACGAGGGGAGCCGTCCGATCCTAGATCTGGGGGATGAGCAGGTACAAAGGCCCTGAGGCAGGGGTGTCCCGTCATGGTGCTATGACCGTGACGGATTTACTGGGCACATTCTGTGCTCAGAATGTGCTGGAAACCTCAGAGACGTCTTCCTACTTAATCCTCACCCAACCCTGAACGGAGGAATTACCGTCCCGTCCCCCCGGTCCTCCCTCCCGCTTACAGCTGTGGAACCCTGAGAATCACAGCCAAGAGGGGCAGAGCCAGGATAGGAACCCGGTGGGACCCACAGAAGCGTCTTAACACTTGGGTTCCAACCTCAGCTGGGGTCCCTCCTTGCCGTCCTGCTGCATGACCCGGGGCGGATGACCGGTCCTCTCTGAGCCTCTGCCCTCCCATCTGCCCCGCAGCCCGCAGTGGGAAATGGTACCACGGAGCCTGGCAGTGGGCAGGGGGCTGTGGCCATCTGCGGGGCGGGGACAGATCTGGCCGGGCGGGGCGAGCCGTGGGCGCTGCACCGCCGCCAGGCGCCGACAGAGGGCAGGAGCGGCCCGCGCGTCTGAGGCCAGGGAGCGCAGGCGAGCGAGGGTCCAGCGGGGGACACCCACGTCCTCGGGGCTCAGAGCTGTGAGGTCCAACTGAAACGTCCACCTGAAATGCGGCCGGTGTGGCCGGAGGTTCTTGCAGGTCCAACACACACCGACCTCCAAGGCTTAGTGTGAAAAATGAATGCAAACTACCACGGCCATCAGTTTTTGCATGGATCACATGTTGAAACGACAATATTTTAGACATACCGTGTTAAATAAAATATAAAAGTTAATTTCACTTTTGTTAAACGTGGACACGTGAACTTAAAGCTCCGCGCACGCTGGCATTGTTGGCTCTCGTGCTGTCTGTGCAGGACCAGTGCTTGTGCCTTATGCCACGTGACCCTCATTAATCCTCCCCGTGAGGCCTGGACTGTAGCTAGCGGTCCCCATTTACAGATGGAGAAACTGAGGCAGCGAGAGGTGACACGGCGTGCTCGGGGCCAGCTGTGGGCGCGCACCCCGTGCCCAGGTGCACACATGCGTGTCACATGCACGAGTCCACGCGTAACAGACGGATGAACCAGCGCAAACGCACGCTGCCAACGCCCCCGCCACGTGTGCAGCCAGTCTCGCGACAGCCTCGCCAACACACACGTCCACACCCCGCACACACCTGCAGGAGTGCGGCCCAAGTGCCACCTGGACAACTTCCGGGGAGCTGCCGTTGGCCAGCAGGCCCAGGACGGCCGCTGGTCTCCCTGCTCGCCCAGGGCCCGGACAGGGGGGCCTGGCTGCCGTTCCGTGTGTGTCTGCAAAGGCCACCCCTGCGGTGAGCGAGTGGCCTGCCGCCCGGCGCTTCGGGCCCTTCCTTCTGGCCGCAGACCATTTGCATAAAGCTCCCCGAGCCCACGGATCGCATTACATGGAGGCCTGATGATAATCTTTGTTGAAATAATATTTAACACATGCTGCACTTTTAATTAACTATCTGAATAATCTCAAATTAATACCAGAGCTTTAAAAAATAAGTTTTCGTTTTCGCGTTTGGTAACATAATAGCGGCCCGGCTGGCCCGTTTCCCCTTCCTTTGATTTAATTAAAAGCCCTTTTGTGTGTCTCTTGTCACTTCAGAAATGGACAAAAGCACCCGGGTGGGCAGCCCAGGCTCCCGACTCAGGGTCCAGGGCTGGGGTCGCGGCCGCGCAAGAGCTCTGGGGTTCGGGCAGCCCCGCGGCACCATCCGGGAGGCCGCGGTGGGGCTGAGCGTCACCCGTTCGCACAGGGACACGGTGACGGACATGCACACGGAGGCGGGCGGTGACCTGCTGCCACTCGTCCACGCATGTCCCGAGGCCACTGCCTGCGCCAGCCCCGCAGGTGCCTGCTCGGTCACCGCCGCGCGCCGGGCAGTCAGGCGGTGAAAACCAGGCCGATCTGGGCTGGGGGTTAACAGTCGGCGTCCTGAGTCCGGATCCGAGAAGACCACGGCTGCCGGTCCCAGTCCCATGCCCAGCCGACAGCTGAGTGTGTGGGAGTCTCTCTCCCTGCTCTACTGTCTCCGTCTCTGTGCCTCTGTCCCGGGCTCAATGCTTCTGGAAACAGGGCCAGGCAGGCAGCTTCCTGGGGCTGTTGCTCCCCTGCTGTCCCTCTGTCCATTGTGCCCAGGCCGGCCAGCCCCCCAGGTCTCTTCCGGGGTCCTGAGGAGCAGCAGGGGGACAGCGTTTCCTGGGGTCTCTGGCTTGCTCCCCGCTGACAGGCCTGAGACAGGCCGAGGGAGGCCTTGCACAGGCGAGCAGCCCTGGAGAGGCCAGCGGGGATACGCAGGCCCCTGCGGAGCCTCAGTTTTCTGTGCGGGTCCAGGCGGGTGGGGATCTTTCTGCTCGGTGGGCCTGAGGCCCTCAGGAACTGTGCAGAGACAGGGTGCACAGCAGACACCCACCGCCAGCCACGCCTGGATTCTTGGGAGGGGGCCGCGGAGATTCTTTTGGTTCTGGGGCTGAAGGTCGGACGTGGCTCCCACGTGGAGAGTGGTGGCTGGGCGCAGAGCCTGTGTGTCCCTCTAAGCCCGTCTGAAAGCTGGTGGCCCAGGACAGCTTCCGAGGCTGCTGCCGCGGGTGCAAATGGCCACATCTCCACCACACACGCAGCCTACGCATCCCATCAGCAAGCAACAGAGGTTTGGATGTGAGTTGAATGAGCGTTTGGCGTCCTGCCTCCCCACGGCCGTGACCATGAGCGGGTCCCTGCCCTCCCCAGCCCCCCAGTCCGGTGGGAGGACAGTCACATGGGTGCAGAGCGTGGTGCTGCAGTGGGAGCTGCGAGGCCGGGCTGCAGCCTTGAGGTAGAGGATGAGGTGGGTGGGGACCGGTGCTCGGTTCTGGGCCCTGCCGTGCCGGGGGCCTCATCGGTGGCACGGTCAGAGGAGAGGCTCCCGGGGCTGCAGTGACCGACGCCAGGGTCCAGCCGCCCTCCCCGGGCACTGGCCCTGGGACCTGGAGCATGACCGGCAGGGCCGGGCCTGGGAACTGACTGCCCTGGGGTACAGCTCCCCTCCCCCACACCAGCCAGTCCCTTCTGGCTCAGGCTGACCTGCCCGCCCCGGTGTCAGCGGCGGCCCCAGCGGACTCCTGCCTCGACGGCTACCTGGGGGAGCGGGCGAGCCAGCTCCCACCCACTTCACCTTGGCCGGTGAGGACTGGCCAGGCCACTCCAGGCACCCGGACCCCACCGCCACACACACTCACACGCGTCCACTCACACGCATTCACACACGCGGTTCCGAGTCACCCAAGACCACACACGAGTGAGCACACAGATGGCCAGCTGGCCCGCAGGGAGGAGTGATCGTCCTGGGCTGGGCTCCAGGCGTCCATCCACACACGGGGTGGGGGCGCTGTTGTCCTGAGCACCTACTGTGTGCTGGCGGCCGTGTGTGAGCCCAGGAACCGGCACAAGTCTCAAGTCGGGCAGGGGTCCCGGTTCACAGAGGGGGTAACGAGCTCAGAGAGGCGGGTGAAGTTGCTCAAGGTCACACAGGGAGAAGCGGCGAGAGCCAGGCCTGATCTCGAGCCTACACGCCAGTCAGCCCACCCCTGGCCCTTCTACTGCTGAAGGCTCCCCGGCGACACGGCCTGACCAGGAGCGAGGCTGGCGGGCGGGCGGGAGCCGGGCTGCATCTGGAACCCCAGCAGGCGACCCTGGTGCTGACCCAGAAGACTCGGGGCCCCGCGTCCATGGCGAGAGCCTGGGGAGCTGGGGGCAAAGTGAGAGAGGGTTCCCCAAGCCCCTCAAGGTGGTCACAGAACCAGAAACCACTGAGGCCTGTCCCGCTAGCAAGGGGCCCGCGACCTCATGCCACCCAACCTGTGAGCTCCTGCCGAGAGCGGCAGGGCACAGGTGTGAGCACAAAGTACCCGGGAAGGGCCCAGAACCAGCGGCGCTAAAGGAGAACCCCTCATTCATTCATTCATTCGGTCAATCAACAGGTGTCCGCAGGGGCAGGTGCTGTCCTTCCTGGACAGGTGTGGCAAGGCTGACCCGGGCCCTGCCCTCCTGGGACTGCCATTCTGTTGGGGAAGAGGGACAGCGTGCACCAAAGATGGATGAAGTGATCTCAGATAATGACCATTAGCCAGCGTAATCAGGGAGGGCTTCTCTGAGGACGGGACCTTTGGGCGAAGACCTGCCTGAGTGACAAGGAAGAGGCAACCAGGAAGAGAGTCGTGGGGCAGGACTCCAGGCAGAGTGACCCGGAAGGGCAGAGGCCCAGAGGAGCGAAAGCTCGCAGGACGGGGGCCTGGGCGGGAAGCGGCCTGATGGAGCCTAGGCAAGTGGGGTCGCCCACACCCTGTCTGAGGGGCGAGTGCTGCCCAGCTCCAGCCCATGGTCGCCTGTGGGACTGAGCACCCAGTGTGGCCAGAGGTTCCGATTCTCCAAGAAAAGCTGGCGGTCTGGGTTTTTACATGAAACCTCTTGATTTTTTAAGTGGCCACGACCGGTTCAACTTTTTCTGAAACTCTTCAAGCCACAGAAAATGTTTCTGGAGGCCAAAACCAGCGTGTGGGCCTCTAGTTTGAGACCTCGCTAGGAGCCGTGTCCTGCCTCCCAGGCTTCCTAGTCGGGAGGCCCTGGGCAGGTTGCTTGCCCCGTCTGTGCTTCAGTGCTTTCACCTGTGAAGCGGAGGCGACAGGGCCTACCTTGCAGCGCTGCCGTGCAGGGGTAAGTGCTCTAAGTTATTCATTCATTCAGCAAATATTTACTGAACACCTCTGCGTGACAGAGTCAGTGCTAGGTCTGGGGGTCGCAACAGCGGGCAAAAGAGACAGTCTGCCCTGGTGCCTCTTACCGTCCACAGGGGACAGAAAATGAGCAAGTACGTGAGCGAGTGCCGCATAGGAATGCCACGTGGCCAGAAGGACCGAGACGGAACCCGGAAGGCTTGACGTTGTAGACGGGGTGGCCAAGGAGGGCCTCGCTGAAGAGAGGGCGTCGGCGTAAAGGCCTGAAGGATTTGAGGGAGTGAGACACACAGATATCCGGTGAAGTGATCGAAGCAGGGCCAACAGCCAGTGCAAAGGCCCTGAAGGCCTGGCTGCTCAAGGAATGACTAGGAGACAGGTATGGCTGAAGTGGAGAGATTCAGGCCAGGGAGGTGGGGAGGTGGGGCTGGAAGGAGGGGAGGTGGGCCTCGGGGGCTGTGAGGGCTTCAGCTCTTCCCCTGAGTAAGGTGAGAGCCAAGGGAGTGTGTGGAGACGTGAGGTCTGCCTTTGGTTTCCACAGGATCCTTCTGGCGGCCGCTGGGGCAGAGGCGGGGAGCACAGGACGGAGGCTACTGCAACCGTCCAGGCAAGAGGGCGTGGGGGCTGGACCGGGGGCAGCAGTGGGGCTGGAAGCAGTTGGCTCTATTCTGGAGAGACTTCAAAGGTCCGCCCAGCACAGAGAGATGTCAGAAAGATGCCTGGGTTTGGTCGAGGCACCTGGAAGATGGGAGGATGGAGAGGTGGGGAAAGCTGGGTCAGGGCAGATGTGGACCTGGGGGGCTGCGCAGGGAAAGCAGCTGAGGAGGGGGGTGGGAGCGGAGGCCCATGGGGGACACGACGCGGGCACCCCGTTGGGGATGCATGAGTGGGGGGGGGGGTAAGTGTAGACGGCCGTGAGGACAGCGGCAGCCGTGGTGCGCAGCAGGCTAAGACGGACGGATGCTGACATCATTTGTCAACTCGGGGTCCAGGGGAGGGGCCTGGACGCAGCTCCGGAACGCAGGCCGGGGAGGCGACGCCGGGGGAGCCTGGGCGGCTGGGGGCCGCAGCCCACCCCTCCCCCTCGCCACCTGCGGGGTCGGTCAGACCCGGCCTTTGTCCCGCGCCGCAGCCCCGCCGCCCCGCGCGGCGCCCCCCGAGCAAACACAGCTGAGCGCCGGGCTCGCGTGCCGCCCCCGCCCCCAGCTCCGGGCGGGCGGCGGGCGCGGGGCGGCGGCTTAGCGGGGCAGCTGCGGCCGCGGGCGGGCTCCGCTCGGCCGCTCCCACCGGCGCCGCGCTTTGTCATGCAGATGCCCGCTGGCGGCGCGCGCCCGCTCCCCAGCTGACCCGGGGCGCCCGCTCCCAAAGCGGGCCCGGGCCGGCCCCAGACCCGCTTTGTCCTCCGGCCGGAACCGGATCTCCCTGGTGCTGGGCGGCCCGCGCCAGTGGCTGGGCGTCTCTGGGCCTGTCTCCTGGCATTCCAGGCGGAGGACCTGCGGGTTTCCCCTGCGGGGTGCGGAGCACATTTGGGGAGCAGCCTCCATCCCTCCTACACAGACGGGACCCAGTCGAGCAGGACCCGCGGAGCAGGCCTCTGTGGCCATCCCCGACCCCTGCCGGCACCGCGGGCGGTGGGCACCCAATCCCTGCCCCGGCCGGCCGCAGCCTTCCCATCTGCGCTTTGAGGGCGGCGCCCCAAGCCAGGGAAGGTGACTGGGATGAGCTTCTGGGCTCAAAGGCCTCGGGGAAGCTGATGACACAGGGTGTAGACATCCCACCTTGGTGGGTGCTCTCGATAAAGGCACAGATGCTCCCGATGCCAGACCCCCCCCCCACCTCCCAGAGCTGCCCCTCCTACGGCAGGCAGGCGGATGGGGCCTTGCCTGGGGATACGCCCACTTTCCCCAGAGCAAAGATTCACCAAGAGAGGTGATCAAATGGAAAGTTATTTACTGCCTGGTGTCAGGAGTCAGGCCTGAGGCCAGGCCTGGGAGGAGAAACATTCCTGGGCTGGAATCAGGCCGGGAGGCGCTGGTGTCCGTCAGGCAGGGTCACCACGTCCTCCCTGGGACCTTCTCTCCCCACTTTGCAGGTGAGGAGCCCAAGGCAGGGAGCAGCGGAAACGTGGCCCCCAGCCCTTGTCCTTGCCTGCGAAGAACAGAGGCCTGGAATTCAGGCCGGAAGGTGCAGACATGACCAACATGCGTGGACCTGATGCTTGGGGTCCAAGAGAAGCAGCCAGAGTAGCAAGTCCTCTTCCCGCCTCCCAGGCAGAGCCGGTGGCCGGCAGCAGGGCGCTGTGGGCAGGCCTCCTCTCCCGGGGGAGCCCCCCCGCGGGCACCCCTGCTGGGACCCAGTTTGTCAACCCAAATCGCGCTTGCAACTCCGTGGGAGCTTCGGTCCAGTGATTTCACTTCTAGGCCTTTATCTTTAAAGGGCTTTCCGGCCATGTGTGACCTTGGGCTGCGCAGCCTTGGGTGACTGACCCCAGTTGTCCTCATCTGGAAGTGGGAACATCACGACACCTACCCCTCCAGGGCCGTCTGAGGAGCGTGTAAAGCCAGGCACGTGGGGGACACGCGTGACAGAGACTCCCATGAAGGGGAAGCAGTGTCCTGATGTGATGGGTCAGCGCAGTTTTTACAAATGGAGATGAGACCCTCTTCCTGGGTGCCTCCTGGTTTTCCCCAGCGACCCCCCTCCCGTGCCCAAGTTTTGACCGGCAGACCCAGGAGGTTGGTGGGAGAGGGGTGTCAGTGTCAGTCCCAGCACAGACTCAACCTTGCCTGTTACAGGAGACGGTGGGGGAGGGGAGGGGAGACCAGCAGCCCAGCACCTCCACCCCAGGCCCTGGCCCTCTGGCTCAGGCAAGCAGGAGAGACCAGTGGAAGGTGGAGGGTTTATCTCACTCACCCCTCCAGGGAGGGGCCTTTATGCCCAGATCCAGTTTCTGGCAGGACTGGTTGGTCCAGGTGGCCCGATAGATGGCCAAGATAAGGTCCGTGCAGGTTGGCTGGGCTGAGCGGAAGACCCACGCTGGGCTAAGACGGGGGATGGCCCAGGCCCGGCCTGACTCAAGGGTGGCAGGGGGTCTGGGCCTGTCTTGTCCCAGCTGCTGGCACTTTTGGGGGCCACACGGGTGCCCTCTCTGGACCCCCTTCCCTGCCTGCAGTGAGAAGTGGCACAGAAAGAGGTGATCCTGGGCAGGGGTGGTACAGGCCCAAGGTTGCCCAGGCTGGACGTGCTGCAGGTAAGGTTTGTACGGGCACATGACGAGGTTCCAGAGCCACGAGCCAGGCAGACTGAGGTTGCCCGGGCGTGGGGTTGTTCGGGACCCCACGTTTCAGGTGAGCCCAGGCTTGGTTGTGTGTCAGACCTTCTGGAAGCCCCAGGGCTGGCTGGGCGAGCTCGTCCTCATGGGCCGATGGCGTCCTGCTGTCTGTAAAGTCACCACGCCCCAAAGAGTCCCTTCATTAGACCCTTCCACCTGAGAGGTTTGAGTGTCACCTCTCTCCTGCCGGGACCCTGACCAATAAACCTCTGGGGTCTCACAGCCCTAGGGAGCAGTTGTGGTCACCACACTTCCTAGGGAGGAGCCCCGTGGGGACGGCCATGGAAGGAGCCCTTAGTCCCCGCAGACAGGACTTCCCTCATCTCAGCACAGACCTTGAGAAAGGCAGCCCTCGGATCTGCGTGAAAAATGGGGTTTGCGTGCAGGAAGTATTTGAAGGAAGTGGTCCCAGGGGACAAGGGCGGGGTGGGGGGCATGAAGCCGGGCGAGGGGAAAAGCCAGCCAGAGGAGGTGCTGTGGACCCACCGTCAGTGGGGTGCAGACTCCACCGAGGCCATCTGAGAAACCTCGAGGGACGTGCTGAGAACCGTCCACCCCAGGGACAAAAGGGGACATAGCCATAGGCTCCCCTCCCACCGCATGGACAAGGTGAGGCTTACCCACCAGCCTTCGAACTTTAGGGTTCATGTACACAAGTGCCCGGCAGGTCCTGCGGGCGTCCTCGCACTGGGTCAGAGCAGCTCTGGGCAAGAGCGAGCTGGGCCACCAGCCGGCATCTGCACAGGTAGGCCGGTCACCACAGAGCCGTGGCTGGCCTGAGCTCGGCCGGGAGGACTTGAGGTGGGCCGCCAAGGTGCCCAGAACAGTTAAAAAGAGCGTGTATTCAGGGGAAATTCGAGGTTCAGTAAGGCCACAGAGCAGGAGATGACTGCCGTTGGAAAGGTCATTTCTAAGCACAGTCCCGAAGGAGGGGGACTCCACGCCACGCCACGCCGAGCCACGTGGGAAAGCACAGGGAGGTTAGGAGGTGGGGGGAGCCTAGAACCGGGGACGGGAGACTTTGCTGCGGTCTCTGCAGGAGGGACGGGCGAGGCAGGGCGAGCAGGCTGACCACTGGCTGGTTTGAGTAATTTCATGGGCCCTGGGACAGACGGGCTGCCGCAACTTGCCTGGTACCTGACCCCGGGTGACTCAGGCAGGGGGACGGTGGCCCAAGGGGGAGAACCCGATGGAGGAGGTGCTGGGGCTGTGCCTTCTAGATTGGTTGCTTTGCATTTGAAAGTCACCCTCTTGGACCGGTGGGTGGGTTACACTCTGCGGGAATCGGCCAGTCCTGGGAAGGGCAGTCCCTCCAGGGTCAGAGCATCAAACCCAAGACGCGGTTCCTGCAGTCCACCCCTCACCCACCTCAGCTCCGCTCGTGGCCTCGGTGGCCCAGGGTGGCCCAGGGTCCGGTTCAGGGTGGGAGCCGGCCCGGAGCCCCGACAGGCCTTAACTAGCCCCTCCTGCTGCACCTGGTCCCGAAGCTGAACCCTTTCTGGATTCGCCTCACCTTCGGCCAGCACTTGGGTGGCTCTAGGTTCGCCAGGTGGGGCGACCGGGGCGTCTCCGGGGCTCTGAGACCTTAGTCACCTTGCCCCTGTCAACAACTGCCCCGTGGTCACTGTCACCAGTTCGAGGGACAAGAAGCAGCCCCAGAGAATTTCGAGTCCCGGAGACCCTCGTCCCCGGCCCTCCTCTCACACAGGTCCGAGCTGCGCCCCCCCCCCACCCGGCGTGGTGTGACTGCAGGTTCACAGGAGAGCTGCTGCGTCCCTGGCGTACCCCCGAACAAGGACCTCAGACCTGGCCAAGCCTCCGGTGTGGGGCAGGGCCAGGAGTTCTGCAAGGGGGTGACGTCGGGACGGACGGGCCTCCTTCCTCTGCCCGCGGGCTGTGCTCCGGTGACGGGGCCAGCACCGCGTCCACGGGACTGGACCCCAGCCCTCAGGATGTCCCAGGACGGCTCCAGGGCTAGGCTGTTCCTCTTTAGGTCAGCTGCTTCTGAGTGACGTGAACTAGAGTGCGGCCAGTGGGCCTGTGGCTCTGTTCCCGTTGTCACCTCCTTGTGGTCAAATGTCCCTGGTCTGAGGCAGCATCGTGCAGGACACGAGGGTCCAGCTACCGTGCTGGACACTTGTCATCCTCTCGCCACTCGGCTGTCACGTGGTCTTTGCACAGTCTACACCGATGTCACCCTCCTGCTTCACACCCTTCTGTGTCACCACTGCTCTTGAGATCAAGGTGGCAGCACCCATGCCAGACCCCCCGCTCCTTGAGCTCTGGCCCCCCCCCGACCCCCCCCCCCCCCACCCCGTGCTCACAGGCCTCTCCTGCTGCAGGCGCAGTGCACACACAAGCCCCTCAGCCTGGTGCACCAACCCTGCTTGCCTGCCTGCTCTGGGGCAGCCTTCTCGCACCTTCCTGCCTGGGGCAATCCGCCTAGACGCTCTCCGCGTCTGGTCTGGCCCCTGTGGCGCCCCTCTGAGCTGCAGTCTTCGTTTCCGGGGTGACCGGGTAAAGCCTCTGTGCCCCTAGACTGTATTCCCATTGCAGGTGGGAACGATCTCTGCTCGTCACCACCGTCGTGCCTGTCGCCCACAGGGCACGCAAATCCTTCCTGCGTGAGTGAACGAAGTATGGCGAGTCTCTGGGGATGACAGTGGCAACAGGGTGACGGTGGACGTGGTGGTGGTGACAGTTGAGGGTGATGCTGTTGGCGAGGATGGACCACCTTCCTCCGCACGTGCTGGGCCAGTGGACACCTGAGCGGTCCCACTCGAGGGCGGAGCACCGTCGGGGCTGACCCGTTCCCACGGCAGCAAGCTGAAGAGTCCACCCCGCGATCGGAGCTGCCGGGGTTCCTGGCCTTCCCACAGGTGTCGGGATTTCCTTTCCCTCTGATCCGGCTGTGCCCGCTCAGTAGTGCCCCTCCCGGGTTCAACTCACTTTAGCTGGGATGGACTTCTGTCCCTGGGGACCCGAGAACCCTAACCGGTACAGACGGGGCGACAGGGGTGAGCTGAGATGGAGCCCACGCCGCCCCGCTCTCCGTGCCAGTTCCACCTCCTCTCTGGCTTCCGAACGTCTGTGGAACGTCCTCCATCTCTGCTGACACCTGGCTGAGCTCGTCCGTTCCAGGCCTTTACGTGCCATCGCGTGTGCTGAGTGATCTTGATTCCTCACCGCTGGCCCTGACCTTTCTCCTGAACCGCAGCTCACGGCTGACTGTCACGCGTGTCACACGCAGCTGACTTCTTGATTTCCTCTGCACCGTTGTCCCGTCTCAGAGAGCGGACAGACGTCTCGGAGATGACCCGGGCCTGTCCACAGCTCCTTCCCACTCCCTTCAGCAGAGGCCGCTGCCTCAGGGCCTGCGCGCTTGCTAACTTCCCTGCAGGGAACACTCGCCCCAGACCTTCCTCACCTTCCGGGAGAGGGGGCTTGTGAAGGCTGAGCCCAGGGCAGGGCAGAGGGCGCGGAGGGGAAGAGAGGGAGGAGTTCTGGGTGATTCCCCGCACCCTGGGTGGGCAACCGGGTGGCCAGAGGGACCACCCCTGAGAAGGGGCCCGGGATGGGGGTCGGACCTGGGGAGGAAGATGCCAAGTCCGCGTCTGGCACGAGGAGTGGGCAGCATCCGTGGGCCGTCCAGGATGCCGCCCAGCAGATCCCTGAGCTGCAGCCCAGGGCAGAAGTAAGATGGAGAGGCAGTGCCGGGCTATAGTCCTCGGTCTGGGCAGCACCCACCCTCCTGAACCAGCCGGGCCTGCTGGGAGGAGATCCAGCAGCAAAATTCGTGGCTGTACTAACGCGAACAGAGACGGTGCCACCGACCGGGCTCACGGAGAAACGCAGACGCACTCAGGGTGGATGTTTCCGCAAGCCAGCCTCTCCCAGCCGGCCACTGGCAGCCAATTGATAAGCCTAATTAATAATTAACTTTTTAATTAAATATCAATTTAAAACAAGTATGGGAACCAGTCTCTGGCAATTAACACCCTTGCTCTGCTTTCCTAAAGGGACTCAGTCCAAGGCCCAGGCTCTGGGAACTCTTGGGTGGGGAGGGCAACCCGGGACCCAGCAGAGTGGGGAAGGGGCCCGGCCTGGCCTGCTCCACCTGCCCTGGAGCCGCAGGGATAGCTTTCTCCACCCAGCGGTCACCGCCCGCGCCCTGCCCTCAAGGAGCTGGCGTCTCGAACGCCGGGCAGAAGATGCTCAGGAACGTGCGAGTGGCGAGAAGCTGCTTCCCGGGGTCCCAAAGGAAGGAGAAACAGGGCCACAGGAAGACGGCTCCACTGACCGTGACGGTGAAGAGTTGGAAGGACACTCTGGCGTGGGAGCTGCGCGGCCAGAGGTGTGGTGGTGGGGATGCCCGTGCAGGTATGTGGCGGGTTTGGGATGGCACAGGGTGGACCAAGCGTCTGTAGAAGGAGATGGCTCATGCATACCCTTGCTGCCATCCCAGAACCCCAGGACCCCAGGGGTTTCCTGACCAGCTGCTTGGGTGACCGCAGGCATAACCACGGTGCCTGGGGACCCAAGTGGCTGGCGGTGCCAGGTTCCTGCTTTGGGGGCTGTGACAGCGCAGTGTGGTTGGCAGGCAGGGCGGCCCCGGCCCAGCGCTGCCCGGCTCCCATGCCTCCCAGGCCGCACGGAGCTCCCCGGGTCCTCGCAAGATGCCTGGGGGCCGCCGGAGGCATCCAGCACCCAGTGGGTGGGCAGATCTGAAGTCCTGAGGCAGAGGCGGACAGCGTGGGGAGGGCAGTGGGGCCCATGCAGGTGGCTGAGGGCCGGGGCTCCCTCCCCCATCAGGCAGGGACGAGTTCCCAGGGAAGGGGCAGCACCTGGGAAGGCGCAGAGACCAAGGGTGGGACGTGCTAGGCCTCGGCCGTGATGGGGCACCGGGGGGCCTTGGATCTAAGGCAGGCCGGCCCTCAGCCAGGACGGTTGGGGCATCGGGGCAGGCAGCAGAGCCCAGGCGTCTTGTCCCTGCGCCTTCCAAGGCCTGGAACCCAGGGGAGGTGGGTCAGTATTTGTTGCCTAAGCTACAGTGGGAGCTCTTTGCAAGTTGCCGTGCTGCAAAAGGGCAGGGCTGTTGGGAAGCGCGCGTGCTGTGCGATGGGCAGAGCGCGCAGTAAGTGCTCAGGACCCGCTGCAGCCTTAAGAAGCCACTGTTGACTTGGCAAGTTGCAACGATGTGATTGTCCTAAAGGCCAGACCAACGGCGCTTGGTGGAAACAGCTGGTTCCCAACTCTGGGCTGACCTTGGGACCCTGCCTGGCCAGGGAGGGACCCTGGGGTCTGCGGCCCTTTTGTGGCAAAGGGGGCGGACTGGGGAGGTCTGAACATGCCCCGCGCCCTGCCTTGGGGGAGCGCTACTGTGGAGGCCACAGCGGGGCTCTGGAAGGGGCAATGGGGGCAAGGCGCCTCCGTCGCCCGTTGTCGCCCGCACCAGCCTTGCCCCCGCCCCGTGCTCAGTATCAGTTCCGCAGCTGCCCCCTGGTACCTCCCCATCTCTCCTCACCTCGGTACCCTCAAACTGTCTGCCTCGTGGCTCTGTGCCTCTTCCACTCTTGGGTCTCTGGGTCTCTCCTTGCCCCCCATCTTCCTGCCCATCCCCGCCCCGCCCACTGCAGTCCCCTCCAGCCCACTCCAGTGCCCTTATCTGGGTCCAGCCCCTGCACTATTGCTGGGAGCCCATCCCCATGACAACGGGGCAGATGTCGGCTGCGATTAGCCGCTCTCCCTCCCGCCACAGCTCAATCCGTCTTTGAAATTAAATCAGCTGCGATAACATCGACTGGCCAGGGTAGTGGGGGGGCAGGCAGGAGGCTGCCTGGGCCCCACCCACCCCACCCCAGGCCCCGGCGCAGGGGGAGAGGAGGAGGAGTAGGGCAGACGGGCTTCCAGTGCGGCTGTGTGACCTTGTCCAAGTCTGTAAGCCTCCGAGCCTCAGTTTCCCCATCTGTAAAATGGGGGCAAATAGCCCTCCCTGTTTTGGGGGTCGGTGCGAGTCTCTGGGGAGAGTGTGCAGGAGAAGCCCTGGAGAGGGCTCAGGAGGGCTGAGAACTGCCCCCATCCATGGAGAAGCCGGAGCCCTGGTGGAAACCCCTGGCCAGGCCTTGGGGTCGCAGCGGCCACTCAGACCACGCACAGTTGGAGGCCACAGACCTGCTCTGTGAGCCACGGCACACACACACACCACCCCCAGGGCTTTGTTGCCCTCGTTCATAAAAGGCTCCAGTGTCACCAAATCCTCCTGCCCGAGGGACGTGCTGGGATGCCATCGTGTCCACCTGGCGACAGAGAGACCACAGGATTTGGGTCCCTTCAGACAGTCAGGGGCCCTGGAGGGATGTGGGGACCCAGGAGTGGTGAGGGAAAGGGGTAGTAAGGGGTCTGCCTGAGGATGTGGTGGCAGGAGTGGGTGGGCATGGGCGCAGAGGGGTGTTTCAGGACCCAGCCAGTCTGTGCAAAAGTCCCACTTTGGGAAGGAGGAGTGGGGGAGGGGCGCCACAGCACAGTGAGGCGAGGGTGGGGAGATGGGCAGAGACCCAAGGGAGGCAGGGAGAGAGGGGACTGAGGGAGGAAGATCTGGGAGGAGGGTTCCAGGCAGTGGCCCGGCCAGTGCAAAGGTCCTGAGGCAGAAGCGTGCCCAGTGTGTATGCAGGACAGGGAGGAGGCCCGTGGGGCTGGGGCAGAGTGAGTGTCAGGGAAGCCGGGGAGGTTTGGGGGCCTCACGGGCCACTGGGAGGAGTTGGCTTTCCCTTTGAGTGTCTCACAGAACTCTCAGGTTTTCACAAGATCCTTGTGGCTGCTGGGGTGAGAACAGGGTGAAGGAGGGGAAGGGGGGAGGCTGGTGCACTGTCCAGGTGAGCGATGAGCGGCCGAGGAGCTGGTGGCAGCGGTGGAGGTGGGGACCTACGTGCGGAAGGTGGGGCCTCGCCCCTCATGAGCAGGGTCCATTCTGGGGCTGGGCCGGTGGCCCAGGGGCCTCAATGCAGCCCCATCCTTAGGGCCCTCCTGCTTGGGAAGTGGGCCTGAGCTGGACCCGCGCAGCCAGTCCCAAGCCAGGGCGTCCGTTCTGGATCGTCGGGGCTCTGGGTGGCGCCCTGGCTTCCTCACTGCCACAGCCCCGGCGCCCGCACACAGTCAGGCCCAGAAGGGGCTCCGTGAAGTTCTTTGGCCAGAATGTCCTGCCCCAGGGCAGCTTGCTGAGGCCTCCCCAAGGTGCTGACCAGGGGCGGGGCCTCCAAGGATGAATTTAACAGGCCAAAAGGAGATGGGAAGGGTAGCCCGGGCAGGGGGAACAGCATGCCTAGGAGACGGCCGCTAAGAGTCTGGTGCGGGCCATGCCGGTGGCGTGGGCAAGGTGTGGGGCTGGAAGGATGGCAGGGGCCTCAGATGCCAGCTAGGAAGCAGGACTTCATCTGGGGTGTGTGCCCCTAGCTGCACCTCAACTGTCTGGGCTTCAGTTTCTTCATCTGTCAAATGGGGCTAAAGGTCGAGACAAGGATGCAGAGAGGGCCATGTCGCCCGCTTAGCCGGGCCCGGCAGCTGCCACGCTCGGTCGACACGGGGGACCGGAGCAGGGGAATGCCACGATCGGCCTGTGCCTCAGGGGGAAGACACCGCCTTCAGGTGCGAAGCTTGGAGAAGGGGCAGGGCCCGAAGGTGAGCCCGGTCCTGGGGTCCTTGGGGTGTCCATGAACACCCGTGCCTTGCAAGCACCCAGATCTCTGTTGCACACCAGCCCCGGGACCGTGCGACCGCCCGGGCTGCTGGACCATAATTGGATTTGCCCAGCAGCTGTCGGGGCTAAGCAGGCCCACTTGACGCAGCCGTGCTTGGCCAGTAATTGGTGAAATTAGCAGGTCGGCAGGGGCAGAGGTCAGGTGGTTAATGCTGTGGTGGGGGCTTTGATGAAGTTAGTCCCACCGCAGGACTGGGAGCTGGGGCTCCACCTTCTGTACGCCACGGGGCTCTCCTGCCCCCCTCGTAACACGGTTAAGGGACATCCAGCTGCCTGCCTGTCCCAGGGGCTCCGGGAGGCCGGACCCAGGGGGCCTGAGCCTGGAGGTGCAGCAGGTCGTCTGCTGTGTCCTCCTGGCCAGGGCACCTGCAGCACCCACGTGGCCTTGCAAACCCCTAGAGACCTTAGGGAGATGCCCCGTGCCTTCCTGTGGAGGCTTCCGTTGGATAACAGCACCCAGGCCCACCTCTAGGCTTTCGGCCCCCACCACGGCTGCTGGTCATCCGGCTCTGCATCTGGAAATGGGGATGACCGCCTCCCCGGGTCTGTCCGTGACCAGGCCACACCCTCCCCGCGAGGTTCACGGCCTCCCAGTGTCTCCTCCCGTCATGAGCTCCCAGGCTTTGTCCTCTGAGCATGCCCCCAGGTTCTTGCTATTCCCTGAAACAGTGCGCTCCCACCTTCTTTCATGTCACATCATTTATTAGACACCTACTCCACGCCAGCCACTGGGCTTGGAGCTGAGATGCATAGGTGAACAGAGTCAGAGCATGTGCCAGCCCAGGTGGCATTCCCGGCACCTTTCCTGGCCAGGCCCACACTCCTTTCTTCCTGGGAACCAGGGACGCCGTGACTAATCAGCCTGGAACCCCCAAACCTGGAATCACCTCCTTTTCTGGCTCCGCTCCAGCCCCCAAGGAACGGGGACTTGCCAGCCTGCCGACGCTTCACACACACATACACACACCACACGCAAGAGCATTCTTTCCTCCAACAAATCTGTGCCCTGCCCCTCACTGCCAGGCACTGCTCTAGACCCTGGGGACACAGCAAAGAACGAGGCGGGCACAGGCCCTGCTCCCGGGACCTGCAGTTAGGGCTGCGGAGGCACACGTCTCTCAGGTAGTCACGCAGACGAGGTGGAAGGGCAGGGAGACGCAGGGAGGGGCCGTGAGAAAGCCGAGCTGGTGGTTCTGGGAAGGCCTCCTTGGGAAGGGAGACATGAGGCCTTCACCAGGGAGCACGGCCATGCAAAGGCCCAGAGGCCACAAGGCATTTGGTGCCGGGGAGGACCGGAGGGGAGGCCGGTGTGGCCGGGCTCAGGGGGTGAGGGTCCGGGAGGGTGGGCAGTGGCCAGGCCCCCGGCGCCCGGTGGTGAGGACAAAGCCTGAGGTCTATGCTCAGAGCCGCGGGAGCCCCTGAAGCCAGGCGTGGCGGTGGGCGGAGCACCCTCGCGGGCTGGTGGGCGTGGAGCCGCGGGCTGGGTGGGCCAGGCGCTGGTCAGGACGCTCACGACCCGAGGACGCAGGCGCAGGCGCAGGCGCAGGGAGCTCCTAACCCCGAGCCTGAACGGCGCCCTCGCGAAGTCAGCCTGCGCCAGGCGCTGGGCACGTCCCCGGGCCTCGCGGGTGCGCCCAGGCTGCCCGCCCCCCACCAAGCGGGCAGCTGTCTCCGTGAACCCGCTCGGCATGTTTATTAAGCATCGCCCAGGCGGTGGGCACAGGCAGTGGGCGGAGCCTACTTGCTGTCCGGCCGTTTGAGCTGCTCCTTGCCATTGACGGTCACGGACTTGAGCCGCCCATCCTCCTCCACCTCCACACGCTCCTGCCCGTTCTCCACGATGCGCTTGGTGGTGACCTGGTGTCCGTTGACCATCTTGGTGGACGACATCACCGACTTGAAGCCCGAGCTGCCCGAGCCAGAGCCGGCGAAGGATGCAGACGAGAAGGTGGCACGGCTGGCGCCGCCCCCGCTGCGGCCCAGGGTGTTCAAGGCTGAGAAAGCCTCCACGAAAGCCGGGAACTCGCCGAAGCCGGCCGAGAGGGCGCCGCGCAGCCCGTGGCCCCGGCCCGCGTGCTCGCTGCCGAGCCGGCTGTCCCAGAAGCCGAAGGAGAAGGGGTCCAGGCCTCCGAAGAACTCGCGGAAGATGTCCTGGGGGTTGCGAAAGGTGTAGCCGCTGTCGAAGGGGCTGCTGTAGCGGGTGCCGGCCCGCCAGCTGTCGCAGCCCGCGCGGTCGTACACCAAGCGCTTCTTGGAGTCGGACAGGACCTCGTAGGCCTCGGACACCTGCTTGAACTTCTTCTCGGCCTCCTCCTCGTTGTCAGGGTTCTTGTCGGGGTGCCAGCACAAGGCCAGCTTGCGGTAGGCCTTCTTGATGTCCTCCTGGGAGGCGCTAGCCTGCACCCCCAGCACCTCGTAGTAGTTAGGCATGCCGAGGGCCGGGGCGGTGTGGAGACGCGGGCCTGGGGCCCGGGCGGCCGGTGGGCGCGGGCGGCAGCGGCGGCCTGGGTCCCTCGACGGGGGCCTGGCTGGAGTCTGCTGGCTCCAGGGCAGGTTACCGTTTCATAGTACCAGCACCTCCGCTAGAGGGGCAGGGGGAGGGGAGGGCACTGCCGCTGGGGCCCGGCCACCAGGCCCCGCAGAGGCAGAGCTGGCTGGCCCTTTGTGACATCAGCCCTGGACACCGGGCCTGCCCAGGAGGCCGAGCCTCCACTGCCGGCTGAGCCCTGGGGGCAGAGGCAGGACCAACCACAGGAGCTGGGCGAGGTGGGCCACGGGCCAGGGGTCAGGGAGGGGAGTGAGGGCTCCTGGGGTGTGTCCACTTAGCCCAACGGCTGGGTCGTTGGCGCGGAGTGAGGGGCCTGAAGTGGGGGACCGGGCGGGGTGGGCTCGGGGCCTCAGTTCATTCTGCTTGTGCCCCGTGATCCCATCAGATCCTCTGAGATGAGCCCCACAGAGGCAGGGGTGTTCCTCAATGTCTAGGACGGTGCTTGGCAATCAGTACACGTTTGTTGAATGAATAAGGCTCAGAGACATGCGGCATCAGACTCAAGGTCACACAGCAAGTCAGTGAGAGAGAGGGAGATGCAAACCCAGGGCTGTCTGAGGCCAAGGTGGGCAGCACATTGAAAGAGGCATTCCACTCAAGCCTGGTGACAAAAATAGGCGGCGTTGGTAATGAGTATAGTGGTGGCCCCCAGAAGACAGGTCCCTGCCCAAATCATAGAACTTGTGAATGTGCTCTTATCAGGAAACATGGTCTCTACTGATACAGTTAAAGTAGGGATCTCGAGATGAGCTGGCCCTGGATGATCTGGGTGGGTCCTAGATCCAATGACAAGTAGTCCTTAGAAGAGACAGACACGCACTGGGAGTGGGGGCATGAAGCGGGAGGCAGAGACCGGAGGGAAGCAGCGCCGGGAACGCAGAAGCCGCCCCCCACCCGACACCGGGGGGGCAGGGCCTCCCCCGGGGCCTCCGGAGGGAGTGCAGCCCTGATGGTACCTTGACTGGGGGCCCCCGGCCTCCAGAACTGTGCAGGGATGGATTTCTGTTGTTTCAAGTGGCCCAGTTTGTGGCAGTTCGCCGTGGCAGCCCTAGAAAACTAGCAGTGTGTGCGAGGTACCCAGCTGTACCCAGGTGTTCCTGTGTCTTTAATTCTTGTTCTGTTGTTGGAGTATATTTAGAAACAGCAATTAACAAGCCTGATTAACACCTGTTCCTCCTTTCACCTCATCCCCCCCCCCCAGGTGAGATGGAAAACACGCTGCCCTGCGGTGAGGCACTTAGCATCTTAACTGAGATAGCTTTCCTCTCGCTTCTCCCCCTCCTCCCTCCCTTCCTCTTTCTCCTTTTTCTCGTCTTCATCCGTTTCCGTTATTCTCCCTCTTTTTCTTTTCCGTCAGTACTCATGGCTGCTGGGCTCCAGGCACCTGGCAGGGGACAGCGTGTTCTAACCAACCCCACGTGCTGGGAGGTACGAAGCAGACTCTGGAGACGCTTTGTCCTAGATGACAAATGCTGTCACCCGCACAGCCCTGGCCAAAAGCGCGATTTGCCCTCCGTCCCTAGTCCATCCGCCCACGCGTGCTGACACATCTCACACATCGCTTGGTAGAGGAAAGGAATGGCAGAATCACTCCACTGGGCGCGGCTGCAGGTGGAAATAGTTCTGTGTGTTTGTAACTATGTTTCTCTCACTATAGCTAGAACCTGGTCTCGCCAGGCTCGTCCACTGGTGCTGAGGAAAGATGGCCACACACGCGGTTCTCCGCGGCAGCGGTGCTCTGGTTGACTGTGGCAGCCGAGGGGAGAGTGACGAGGTGGGGCGTCCGCGGTGACTGATGAGGCGTCCGTACGGCAGCAGGGGTGATGGGGGCAACGGAGGGGTGTGGAGCCGTGGTGACGGCAGGACGGAACCTGGGATGGTGCTGGTGGAGGTGGCGGCGACCCTGGTGGTGAGGGTGTTGGTGGGGACAGTAGCCCTGCTTGCGGCGGAGACAGCCACTCGTGGAGGTGGTGGTTATGACCACAAAGGAGGCGACGTAACGGAGGGACCGGAGACCGTAGAGGTGCTGTTGACGGAGATGGCGGAGGTGACGGGAGGGGATGGAAATGGCTGCTAGGGGAGCTCTTGTTGTGCTGTGGCAGTGGTGGTGCTGGTCGGGACCCCTGCCACAGCTCAGAGGCTTGGGACCGACACTCAGTTCTCGCCCACTTCACTTGTCAGCACCGCTGGGGCGGCTCCAGGGCTCCCAGGCGCGTCTTCCCCTCCCGGATCCCAGGCTTCGGGAGCAGCTCTCGTGGCGGAGAGGCTGCCTGTAAGAGCTGGTAGATGTGTGGGATGCCTCTTAGAACTTCTCTTGGGACGTAACGAACGTCGCTCTGCCTTACATCACGTGGTCAAGGCCAGTGTCGGTGGAATGGGGATGGCACTCCTTCAGGAAGGTTCTGCACATCCCGGACAACACCCAGAGAGGCACAGTCCTCTTGGAAGAGAGAATGGGCAGCTACGGTGCGCTGCGGGTGAGTACGGCGTGGTGGCAGCGGTGGCCCTGGTGGAAGCGGGGGTGGCGTTGCTCCTGGTGGGAGTGGTGATGGTGCGGACGGTTGGGGTGCTGGTGTTAGTGGGAGTGACATGGGGCAGGAGTGACGCCGAGCCGGAGCAAGAGTGCCGAGGGTGGTGGTGACGGCACCGCAGACGTGGCGTTCTCGATGGTCTCTTGCTAACTCAGAATCACCGCCGCCCTCTGCTGTGGTCTCCTCCACACCCTGGAGGATCCCTTACCCATGTGGCTCCGGCTTAGTCTGCAGAGACATGAGATTTGGAAAGTGGAAAAGAAAGAGGCAGTTGCAGGCAGATGAAAACCCAGAGGTTTGCAGCGCCTTCTAGGTGACCCTCTGAGAACCCCTGCTTCAGGGCTGCAGGCTGAGATATTCAGAGGGAGCTCCCCAGAATATCATGAGATTCTAGCAGCTTCCAGGCCAGCTCTTGAGATCCACCACTTTGGAGCCGAAGACCGAGACCATCAGTGACGACTTGCTTCCCTGATCTTTATGCCCTCAGGTCACCCAGTGGTTGTGGAAACTTGTGTTAAATGTCCTTGTACCTGTTACACAGTCAGTAACCGTACACATGGTCATGGTGACAGTGGCTCAGATGAAGTTGGTAGTAGTGGTGGAGGTGGGCATGGTGATGGTGGTGACGACACAGGCAGTGGTGATGGTGTGATGTCAGCATGATGTTGGAGGGGGTGGTGGTGGTGGTGATAGAGGAGACGATGGTGGCGATGATGAGGAAGGTGATGAGGTGGTTGCCGTGGAAACGGGGGTGATGCAGGTGGTGGTGATAATAATGGTTTGGTCATGATGTAGAAACGGTGGTCGTACTAACTGGGACATTTGTTGAGGTTAAGGTGGCAGCGGTGATGGTGGGGATGGAAAGGATGAGGATGCTGGTGGTCATGGTAATACAGACCCTGGCTGTGGTGGAGATGGCGGTGTGACGGTGACGACAGGGATAGAATGAGGCAGTTAGTGGTGATGGTGATGATGGTGGTGGGGAAGGAGGTGGTGATGGAGGTGATGTCAGAGGTGGGATGGTGGCAGTGCGGATGGAAGTGGTGGTGACGGTGATGGTGCTGGTAACGATGGGCATAATGGTGGCCACGGTAACGGTGATGCTGGTTGAGGTGATGGAGGTGATGTCAGAGTTGGGATGTGGTGGTGGTGGTGGTGGAAGTCGTGGTGTGACGATAGTGATGTGATGGTGATGCTGGTTCAGGTGGGGACCGTCGTGGTGGTGCTGATGGCAGTGGTGGTGGTGGTGGCGATGAGGGTAACCGTGGGGGGATGAGGGTGGATGCAGGGATGCTGGATGCTGTGGTGATGGTAGTAATGGGGGGATGTGATATTGGTGACGACAATGTAATCAGGATGGTGCGTGGGTGGTTACAACAAGCTGAGACGGGATCCAGGGTGTTGAGGTGCCTGAGCACCCCACAGAGGCTTCCCCCTGACCCACGCGGCCTCCCCCCGCCCTGCCTGAGGCTCATGCTGACCTCCACTGGCCTCCCTCAGAAGGACTTCCTCTGGCCGCCCCGCCGATGCTTCCGGAGCCCCTCAGCAGGTTCCCTGCCCTGCTCTGCCCGCAGGTCCTGTGCTCAGCCTGAGGCCTCTCGGGTGGGCAGCAGGAGGCAGCTGGGATGGAGACGGGCTGGGGGGCCACCCAGTAGGACTCACGGGGAGGGGCAGACCCCAGCTCCTCACTGCCACGGGGCCCCGAGGGAGGAGAGCCTCCCCATTACCGAGGGGAAGGGAAGCGCCCCATAAAGGGTGCTGTGGAGTTCGGGGGCTGCATGCCGAGGTGACGTCCCCTCCTGCAAGGGGTTTGGACTAGTGTCCTCTGAGGCCCTACAGCGAAAGTGTCGACAGAGACTGGTGGGAGTGACAGGGGCCTCTGGGGTCCCTCCTCAGGGCCCGCCCAGAGGAACAGGGCTGAGCTGACGCGACCTTCGCTCAGGCCCCCCCCCGCCTGCCCCATCCCGCTCTCAGCTTGCTGGCCGTCCATCACTTTCACTCTCTGAGCCTCTCTGCCCTCATTTGCCGCGGCGGGGAGGGGGGGCTTCTCCCCTCTGGGCAGCCAGCCTAGCCTCCCTGGCCCACCCTGAAGCCCCGGCCTGGGAAGAGAAAGAGGACCTGGATGAGCAGGGGATGGTAGGCAGAGCCTGAGCTGATGCACAGGGAGGCCCAGAGAGGGCAGGGCACACCCAAGGTCACACAGTGGTCCCAGGAGCTCTCGCCAGGGTGAGCTGATGGCAGCCGATTAGGCAGCCACTTGGTATTCTGAGCAGCCAGAGGCCCCTCTCTGTCTCTGTAATTAATGGAGTGGCTTTTTAAAAGGATTCTAATCACCCCTGATCCTATCTGCTTATCACTAGCGTTCCTAATTAGATGATCCTGGCAGTCACTTGGCTAATTCCCCCCAGCCCTGTGCAGCCCTGCCCAGCCTGGGGCAGCCCACCCCACCCCCCAGACAACCCCAGCCCAGCCAGATGGGCGGTTCAGGCCTTCTCTCCCCTCAGGGCCCCTGGTTCTCTAACCGCATTACCTTCAGGATGGATGGGTGACAGCGATGGATGGGCCGCTGGATGGCCAGTGACCGGTGAGTGAAGGGACTGAGTGATAGACAGCTACAGGGGTAGGTGGATGGACAGACGGACAGACTGGGAGGTTGAGAGCTCGGCCTGTCAGGTCAGGCGGCACGGCTGTTTCCTAGCTCTGTGTTCTTGGGGAAGTCACCTAACCTCTCTGTGCCTCGGTCTCCGCATCTCATCTGTAAAATGGGGGTAATCG